TCCTGATAGTCCTAAATGTTATCTGATCCTTGATACTCCATGATAGGTGTTCAGAGGGCCCTCTGTACAGGCCCTTGATTTAGTCTGTGGTTGTTGGATTCAGTTCTACTATAGGTCCCAAGTAGGACTGGACTGACCTGTGGGATTCAGTTCTACTATAGGTCCCAAGTAGGACTGGACTGACCTGTGGGATTCAGTTCTACTATAGGTCCCAAGTAGGACTGGACTGACCTGTGGGATTCAGTTCTACTATAGGTCCCTAGTAGGACTGGACTGACCTGTGGGAGAAGCAGGCTGCTATGATCAGAGTGCACACAAACTGGGTTCACTGCTGTTTGTCAGACCCTTTCCCCCAAAAAGAGCATATTTTCACAGTAACACACATCAAGTTACCCAGAGAGACGGTCACACATTCACCACAGATAATTCCAGGGCTCGTAGTGTTGGTAAGGACATGGTAGGGAGCAGGGATGAAGGATGTAGGGGTAGAGACAGGGCTCGTAGTGTTGGTAAGGACATGGCAGGGATGAAGGATGTAGGGGCAGAGACAGGGCTCGTAGTGTTGGTAAGGACATGGCAGGGATGAAGGATGTAGGGGCAGAGACAGGGCTCGTAGTGTTGGTAAGGACATGGCAGGGAGCAGGGATGAAGGATGTAGGGGCAGAGACAGGGCTCGTAGTGTTGGTAAGGACATGGCAGGGAGCAGGGATGAAGGATGTAGGGGCAGAGACAGGGCGATATGCAGGAGGCATGAAAGGTGGATGGGGTGGAGAGATCTGAGCAAGAAGTTGTGGGATGAAGTTTGTATTTGGGGTGGGAGAAGGGTATCATCTAGTGGCCTGGCCGGGACTATGACTTTGAAGGTGAGTGGATGATCGTATGATAAGGTGGGCGAGGTTGTGTGTGTGTGTGTGTGTGTGTGTGTGTGTGGTGTGTGTGTGTGTGTGTGTGTGTGTGTGTGTGTGTGTGTGTGTGTGTGTGTGTGTGTGTGTGTGTGTGTGTGTGTGTGTGTGAAAAATGCATGCACTCACTAACTGTAAGTCGCTCTGAATAAGAGCGTCTGCTAAATGACTAAAATGTAAATGTAGAAAGGGACAGAGGGGTAATGGGATTAGGGTTAACGCCTTTCGCGGGCGCAGGGAGAGCCACCTGACACTCGGTCTGTTGGGGACCTGGGGACGGCGGGGGACAGAGGGGGGGACGGGGTACGGGACGCGGGGGTCTAATCCGTGTCCATCTTTGGGAAGTCATTCCCAGAGCTCTGAGGATTTGGGGCTTTGGTTACCGCTCTGCTAGCTTTGGTTAATAATGCTATGGGTGGGTTGAGTGAAAGAGGGATGAATAGAGAGAGAGGAAGAGAGGAATTCATTACCCTGTGGTGGCCTTGCAAGACAGAGTCCTTAGCCAAAACCATGGGGTCTGACTCTAGCCAGGTGTGATATGATCTAAACTCAGCAAAAAAAGAAACGTCCCTTTTTCAGGACCCTGTCTTTCAAAGATAATTCGTAAAAATCTTAATAACTTCACAGATCTTCATTGTAAAGGGTTTGAACACTGTTTCCCATGCTTGTTCAATGAACCATAAACAATTAATGAACATGCACCTGTGGAACGGTCGTTAAGACACTAACAGCTTACAGACGGTAGGTAATTAAGGTCACATTTATGAAAACTTAGGACACTAAAGAGGCCTTTCTATTGACTCTGAAAAACACCAAAAGAAAGATGCCCAGGGTCCCTGCTCATCTGCGTGAATGTGCCTTAGGCATGCTGCAAGGAGGCATGAGGACTGCAGATGTGGCCAGGGCAATCAATTGCAATGTCCGTACTGTGAGACGCCTAAGACAGCGCTACAGGGAGACAGGACGGACAGCTGATCGTCCTCGCAGTGGCAGACCACGTGTAACAACACCTGCACAGGATCAGTACATCCGAACATCACACCTGCGGGACAGGTACAGGATGGCAACAACAACTGCCCGAGTTATACCAGGAACGCACAATCCCTCCATCAGTGCTCAGACTGTCCGCAATAGGCTGTGAGAGGCTGGACTGAGGGCTTGTAGGCCTGTTGTAAGGCAGGTCCTCACCAGACATCACTGGCAACAATGTTGCCTATGGGCACAAACCCACCGTCGCTGGACCAGACAGGACTGGCAAAAAGTGAGCTACACGCTAGAATGAGCGTTACACCGAGGCCTGTACTCTGGAGCGGGATCGATTTGGAGGTGGAGGGTCCGTCATGGTCTGGGGCGGTGTGTCACAGCATCATCGGACTGAGCTTGTTGTCATTGCAGGTAATCCCAACGCTGTGCATCTACATGGAAGACATCCTCCTCCCTCATGTGGTACCCTTCCTGTAGGCTCATCCTGACATGACCCTCCAGCATGACAATGCCACCAGACATACTGCTCATTCTGTGCATGATTTCCTGCAAGACAGGAATGTCAGTGTTCTGCCATGGCCAGCGAACAGCCCGGATCTCAATCCCCCCAGAAATGTCCGGGAACTTGCAGGTGCCTTGGTGGAAGAGTGGGGTAACATCTCACAGCAAGAACTGGCAAATCTGGTGCAGTCAATGAGGAGGAGATGCACTGCAGTACTTAATGCAGCTGGTGGCCACACCAGATACTGACTGTTACTTTTGATTTTGAACCCCCCTTTGTTCAGGGACACATTATCAATTTCTGTTAGTCACATGTCTGTGGAACTTGTTCAGTTTATGTCTGTTGTTGAATCTTGTTATGTTCATACAAATATTTACACATGTTAAGTTTGCTGAAAATAATCGCAGATGACAGTGAGAGGACGTTTCTTTTTTTGCTGAGTTTATAATGTAGCCTACAACTCTAAAACCTCCCCAGAACACCTACATCTCTAAAACCTCCCCAGAACACCTACACCTCTAAAACCTCCCCAGAACACCTACACCTCTAAAACCTCTCCAGAACACCTACACCTCTAAAACCTCTCCAGAACAGGTAGTCTACTGGCTGTGTATCCTGCTTTGTAGTCCCTCCCCCGTCCATCAGGATGTACAGTGGGGAAAAAAAGTATTTAGTCAGCCACCAATTGTGCAAGTTCTCCCACTTAAAAAGATGAGAGAGGCCTGTAATTTTCATCATAGGTACACGTCAACTATGACAGACAAAATGAGAAAAAAAAATCCAGAAAGTCACATTGTAGGATTTTTTATGAATTTATTTGCAAATTATGGTGGAAAATAAGTATTTGGTCAATAACAAAAGTTTCTCAATACTTTGTTATATACCCTTTGTTGGCAATGACACAGGTCAAACGTTTTCTGTAAGTCTTCACAAGGTTTTCACACACTGTTGCTGGTATTTTGGCCCATTCCTCCATGCATATCTCCTCTAGAGCAGTGATGTTTTGGGGCTGTCGCTGGGCAACACAGACTTTCAACTCCCTCCAAAGATTTTCTATGGGATTGAGATCTGGAGACTGGCCAGGCCACTCCAGGACCTTGAAATGCTTCTTACGAAGCCACTCCTTCGTTGCCCGGGCGGTGTGTTTGGGATCATTGTCATGCTGAAAGACCCAGCCACGTTTCATCTTCAATGCCCTTGCTGATAGAAGGAGGTTTTCACTCAAAATCTCATGATACATGGCCCCATTCATTCATTCCTTTACACGGATCAGTCGTCCTGGTCCCTTTGCAGAAAAACAGCCCCAAAGCATGATGTTTCCACCCCCATGCTTCACAGTAGGTATGGTGTTCTTTGGATGCAACTCAGCATTCTTTGTCCTCCAAACACGACGAGTTGAGTTTTTACCAAAAAGTTCTATTTTGGTTTCATCTGACCATATGACATTCTCCCAATCCTCTTCTGGATCATCCAAATGCACTCTAGCAAACTTCAGACGGGCCTGGACATGTACTGGCTTAAGCAGGGGGACACGTCTGGCACTGCAGGATTTGAGTCCCTGGCGGCGTAGTGTGTTACTGATGGTAGGCTTTGTTACTTTGGTCCCAGCTCTCTGCATGTCATTCACTAGGTCCCCCCGTGTGGTTCTGGGATTTTTGCTCACCGTTCTTGTAATCATTTTGACCCCACGGGGTGAGATCTTGCGTGGAGCCCCAGATCGAGGGAGATTATCAGTGGTCTTGTATGTCTTCCATTTCCTAATAATTGCTCCCACAGTTGATTTCTTCAAACCAAGCTGATTACCTATTGCATATTCAGTCTTCCCAGCCTGGTGCAGGTCTACAATTGTGTTTCTGGTGTCCTTTGACAGCTCTTTGGTCTTGGCCATAGTGGAGTTTGGAGTGTGACTGTTTGAGGTTGTGGACAGGTGTCTTTTATACTGATAACAAGTTCAAACAGGTGCCATTAATACAGGTAACGAGTGGAGGACAGAGGAGCCTCTTAAAGAAGAAGTTACAGGTCTGTGAGAGCCAGAAATCTTGCTTGTTTGTAGGTGACTAAATACTTATTTTCCACCATAATTTGCAAATAAATTCATAAAAAATCCTACAATGTGATTTTCTGGAATTTTTTTCCTCAATTTGTCTGTCATAGTTGACGTGTACCTATGATGAAACTTACAGGCCTCTCTCATCTTTTTAAGTGGGAGAACTTGCACAATTTGTGGCTGACTAAATACTTTTTTCCCCCACTGTATATGGAAGTCCTTCTCACCAAGGCCAGGCCTAGACCTAGGCTATATATTTTTTAGATTTATTATCTCTGCCATACCTTTTATCATGCAGTTGTTGTTTCCTTTGAAACATCCCTTTCGTAATTTTTTTATTTCAGTTTGTTTGTGTGTGTGCGGGCTTGCATGCGTGTTGACCTTGTGTAAAGATTGAGTCACTCTCCCCCCATCCGGCAGGTTGCGTTCTGAGTAAAAGTCAATACCCTGAGTGGTGCTGCGGTGTTTGTTCAGACGACACACTGTTATCTGTTACCGTGCCAGTGTGTGTGTGTGTGTGTGTGTGTGTGTGGCGGTCAACAAAGACTCTACGCATTCTGTTTCCATGGCTCCCACAGAACTGGAGAACTGTCCTGAAGACCCTGGTCATCATGGCGGATGCAGGGAGGCCAGTGTTAGGAACTAATGCTAGTATAAAGCTGCTAGGCTGAAAGTCTCCAAATGTTGCTGCTGGTGTGTTTGTCCGTCCCCTGCAAGGTGTCGATTGGTCAATCTCACACAGGGTCAAAGGTTAGGCTGGTTCTGTGGTGTCAACGGGCTGTAGAGCCCCTGAGAATGAAACACCAGGGAGTGTGACACTAGTCTCTGCTGCACACTGCTCCTAGAGCTGCTAATAGACTAGCTGCTGTGACAGGCAGCTCACCCCTCACCTCTCTGTCCCCTGAATGAAGCGTTGTAATGATGTGTGTTGTGTTTGTGTAGGTGCTGAGATGTTCCGGCGTGCGCTGGGGAAGACCCTGGGCTTCGTTAGCTACACCATCCAGTATGGCTGCATAGCCCACTGTGCCTTTGAGTACATCGGAGAGTTTGTGGCGGTGTGTAGGATACTTTTCCCTTTGTGGCCATGGTCTGTGAATACCTGAGTAACTACTTTTAATTTAAATGTCTGTGAATTTACCCACAGTGCTCTGGTCCTTCTATGGAACCCACCATCACAAGCCACGACGTTGTCTTCTCAGAACGGTTGTCGCGCCATCTCTGCAGAATCGAGAAGTGAGTTTTAGTTTTCAATTTGAAATTCTCAAAGTTGGTAAAGTAAACTTAACCTATCCTAAGTGGTCGCTTTTTGCACCGTAACCCCTTGATGTTCTCCCTAATGTATATCAATGACAGCTCACCCCATTGATCCTGTCTTCTCTTTCTTCAGTGGTGATATAGTAATCACTAAGAGTCCGTTTGATCCACATATGAACATCTGTAAAAGAGTAATCGGTTTGGAGGGAGACAAAGTCTGCACCAGTGGCCCCTCGGATATCTTCAAGACCCACCAATACGTAAGTATTCATCAACACTACACAGTCATGCCCCAGGACTCTCAAGGACTCTCAGCCACATGTACAGTATTCTACCTTTAGTTTACAAGGTAAGTGTATTGAGAACACATTTACAACAACAACCTGGAGAAGAGTTTCAGATGAGAGAAGCGGGGTTGAAATGGGGCAGTAAAGCAATACATTCTGTACGAACCATTAAGCCTTGGCCAGACATGTTGTGTTTCAGATATGCTTTAGTGAAATGAGAGAGAGACTAACCCCTCTGTCTTCAGCTCAATCTCCGTGTTCTGGGTGTTTAGATTCTAGACCACGCACATCCATCTTGTGTCATCAGTCCAAATATCATCCTTTGACAGCAACTGCATTTCCTCAGAGCAGTGGTTGTGGTGGTGAAACCACTGTCATTGCATTTCTATTAGTACTCTCCCACTGCCATGCTGCCCTCAGCCACAGCTCAGGCTGCCAATCTCTCTGAAGCCTGTTCGAGTTAGTGCCAACTGAGTGGACAGGTTGATGGGTGGGCTGAGGTGTGTGTGTGTGTGTGTGTGTGTGTGTGTGTGTGTGTGTGTGTGTGTGTGTGTGTACACACTCGCACATGAACAGTGGAGGTATAGGTGAATGTAACCACTGACGGGATTTCAACCACACACAGGAGGTGCTGGTGTCATCCAGGAAATGAAAAAAACAAATGTTCCTCTGTGAACAGATTTAATCTCTACACACAGGCAGTAAAGCTATATTGAACTGGTTACAGCAAAACAGGTTTCATCTCTACACATGTCTTGGGCAAAGGTCTCAGCCTACAGATGTACTCTCTTAATTGGATCACTCTGTTGTCGCAGAAAATGCAAACGTAGTGTATTCGAGTTTTTAAAAGTATTCTAAAGTTTGTAATTCCCACTTTAACATTTCAGACTTGATTTGCCCTAATGAAAAATGTATCAACTCTTACAAAAATGTCCATTCATTATAATCCACAGAATAATTCACATTTCCTGTTGCTGCAGGATTATTTTCCTGCTGTGAGAAACTGGTCAAATTAAGATGGCAGATCTGTACCTCCGAGATGTGTCTCAGTGAAAGACATTGCTCTAGTCTTATCCATTGTTTACCTACCTCTGTTGGATTTCCTCTGTCAAAACACACACCAAAATGTATGTCAACACAGTTGGTTGTGGTGTTAATGAAATAAAAGCCTTGTGGGACATAAAACATACCACCACGAGCCTAGACGTTATGCTCCTAGACATTAGGTGCATGCGTGTGGGTTTCTGTTTGTGTACTATGTGAGACCTTGTCCTCACCTCCTCTCTCTTGTGACAGGCTGGCAGGTTCTTTCCTCCCACATAGATGGGGAGATGGACAAATTGGCTTGTCACCTCTTAGAAGTCATTTCTACAGTATGTCTGATGCATTGTCACAACAAAGACATTCGATCCATAATATGATAGTGAGTGTCTGTGAAAGAGCGAGAGAGGGATAAATGGTGTCTGTGGGAGAGAGAGAGACACACAGACAGAGGGGGAGTGAGAGAAAGAGAGAGAAGGTATGGGAGAAAGAAAGTGGGAGCCTTCAGAGCCTGAATCTATTCCCGCCAGGTTAGAAACACCACTGTACCTCAATCAGGTTAGCTTAATGAGCAGAGCAGGGTGAGGCCTTAAACACCACTGTAACTCAATCATGTTAGCTTAATGAGCGTAGCAGGGGGAGGCCAGACCAGGCTGTTGAACGGCAGACTTCACTATCCAGGTGAGCTCAGCTTTCCCACCTTGACACGTCTCTGACAGGTACACATAGCCCCGCCCCCACAACCACCCAACCACAGAACAGGTTCCATCACTCCCTCTGATTCCCTTCACAACACAGCCGCCGGGCTGAGCTGAGATATGCCACTCAACCCTAAATCCTCTAGCTGGGCACACAGCCTGACTGGACGACTAGGCTGGCTGGAACTGTGTTGTGGAAAGTAACGATGTCTGTTGATTATGCTTTGGCTGAGCGCTCTCATTCTGTTAGGGTGACTCAGTGTAGGGAGTCGGGAGAGGGCATGTTAGACTCATGGCTCAGTGTCATGGAGAAGTATATAAACAGTTCATGAGGAGTGGTTGCTTCTCTGCCTGTCAATCATGCTGGTGCTTATCCTTGACATCCTCCCCTCTACCTTCACTCAACACTGGTGTGTGGGATCTATACATGAGTTTTCAGTGGCTGCTGTGGTTATGACGGTCTGCGGTGAGCTTGCAGGTGTTTAATCAGGGAAGAAGAGTTCCACCAACTATGAGGGGGGACAGAATTTGAACATGTTTGCCTCCTTCCAATACCTCCAGTATCATAATAATAAGGATTTTTATTTTTTATTTCACCTTTATTTAACCAGGTAAGCCAGTTGAGAACAAGTTCTCATTTACAACTGCGACCTGGCCAAGATAAAGCAAAGAAGTGCGATAAAAACAACAACACAGAGTCACAAATGGGGTAAACAAAACATAAAGTCAAAAATACAACAGAAAATATATATACAGTGTGTGCGAATGTAGTAAGTTATGGAGGTAAGGCAATAAATAGGCCGTAGTGCAAAATAGTTACAATTTCGTATTAACACTGGAATGATAGATGTGCAAAAGATGATGTGCAAATAGAGATACTGAGGTGGAAATTAGCAAAATAAATAACAATATGGGGATGAGGTAGTTGGGTGGGCTAATTTCAGAAAAGCTGTGTACAGGTGCAGTGATCGGTAAGCTGCTCTGACAACTGATGCTTAAAGTTAGTGAGGGAGATAAGAGTCTCCAGCTTCAGAGATTTTTGCAGTTTGTTCCAGTCATTGGCAGCAGAGAACTGGAAGGAATGGCGGCCAAAGGAGGTGTTGGCTTTGGGGATGACCAGTGAGATATACCTGCTGGAGTGCAGACTACGGGTGGGTGTTGCTATGGTGACCAGCCAACAAGAGCGTACAGGTCACAATGGTGGGTAGTATATGGGGCTTTGGTGACAAAATGGATGGCATTGTGATAGACTACATCCAGTTTGCTGAGTAGAGTGTTGGAGGCTATTTTGTAAATGACATCGTCGAAGTCAAGGATCGGTAGGATAGTCCGTTTTACGAGGGCATGTTTGGCAGCATGAGTGAAGGAGGCTTTGTTGCGAAATAGGAAGCCGGTTCTAGATCTAACTTTTGATTGGAGATGCTTAATGTGAGTCTGGAAGGAGAGTTTACAGTCTAACCAGACACCTAGGTATTTGTAGTTGTCCACATACTCTAGGTCAGACCCGCCGAGAGTAGTGATTATAGTCGGGTGGGCGGGTGCAAGCAGCGTTCGGTTGAAGAGCATGCATTTAGTTTTACTAGTGTTTAAGAGCAGTTGGAGGCTACGGAAGGAGTGTTGTATGGCGTTGAAGCTCGTTTGGAGGTTTGTTAACACAGTGTCCAATGAAGGGCCAGATGTATACAAAATGGTGTCGTCCGCATAGAGGTGGATCCGAGCGTCACCAGCAGCAAGAGCGACATCCTTGATATACACAGAGAATAGAGTCGGCCCGAGAATTGAACCCTGTGGCACCCCCATAGAGACGGCCAGAGGTCCAGACAACAGGCCCTCCGATTTGACACATTGAACTCTATCTGAGAAGTAGTTGGTGAACCAGGCGAGGCAGTCATTAGAGAAACCAAGGCTATTTAGTCTGCCAATAAGAATGCGGTGGTTGACAGAGTCGAAAGCCTTGGCCAGGTCGATGAAGGATCCATTTGAACATCCTGTGCAGGTAAAATGAAAGGTTAGTTATATCCTCTGGTTAAGTTAGAGTTCTAGAGGAGAACGTCAGGGACATCCGTTTTTACAAAGGATAGGGTCTCGCCTCTCTTTGCACCTTCTCATTCATGATCAAGTTTACGTTTCTGACATCTGTTAACCTGCAAGGTGATGTGTAAAACCTCTCTCTTTTACCACTTCGTAAATAATGTAAAAATAATATATGCCATTTAGCAGACGCTTTTATCCAAAGCGACTTAGTCATGCGTGCATCCATTTTAACGAATGGGTGACCCCGGGAATCGAACCCACAACCCTGGCGGTGCAAGCGTCACGTGCTACCAGCTGAGCCACACATGGCAGATCAACTTTCACAGGCCTTTTAACAATAACCAATGAATGACCAGTTCATTAGTAGTAAATAAATATAACTCTAGATTTTAGAGGAGTTACTTTGCGATGCGCTGTCTGTAGCTAGAGACTCAGTGTGGAATGTTCTCTACTGGGTAATTAGTTTGAGGCTCCAAATCAATCAGAGCTTTGGTGTTTGTGTGTCTGTGTATTTGTTGATCACTCTTGATTGACCCACAGCAGATCGATCTAAATTGATTGACCTTGTTAGTAGTGGACAGAATGGAGTCTAGATCCTGAATAGAGTTCACCTTGATGTAGGATTAGTTAGGTAGGGTTCCCCCAAACCGTCACTCCATGGGCCCTAAACTTTGACCACCACTAATGCATACTATCTAGTATTGAAGTGTATGCTAAACTCTGAGGCAGTGTAATGGACTCAGATTACACCTTCTCCTAGACTAAAAAGCACTTTCAATGACGACATTTTCATGTTTTTCTATGGAGACTTGAAGTAGTCTGAACCTGTGTCCAAGCAACCGCCCCTTTGTGTCTCCTAAAACATAGATGAGCCTACCGACAGGGTCGTGTTGATGATGTCACACCCCTGACCTTTCTGAGCAGGACAAAGGCAGTGAGTCAGTCTTAAGATGGGGGCTGAGGCTGGAGCATAGCAGGGGCTTATGGTCCAGCAGATGACAAACGGCGCTGGCGTTCCTCTCTGGTCCCCGTGTGCTTGGGAGTGGCCGTATGTTGCCATGCTAATGAGGGGTAATGGTGGGAATGCAGCATGCTGACATGTGCTTCTCAGATGACTCCTTTATTGACATTGGTTTGTGTCGTCGTTCTCGGCGGCCGAGTTGTTTACCTCGTGTTAGGTCAATATGTCACTGCCTCGCCATTAGTGGCAGCTCATCTGGCTCAATTGTCGAATATGAAACGCAACACAATGCATAGGTTAATACTGCATAATGATTCTGGATTTTGGGACGATTGGGATACGACGGACGCGCACAATTGGAATCAAGACGTCAGTGTTTGTGTCCCCCCCCTCTGTTCTGATAATATTCTCTGTTTATTTCATTTCCCCGTCCCCCCTCTCCTTTTCTCCCGAAGACTTTGTCCGTTAAAAAGTTAGGCGACACAAACATAGAGTTGCAGATTGCGATGCCCATTATGACAATATAATGTGTTGTTGATCCTGTCTGCACATATAGGGGGACGAGGAACTTAATTAGGGCCTTGACAAGCCTACTCTAGTAAAGTGATGAGATTAATCATAATTGGTGTCACTGTGGATTAGCGCTCGCTCCGATTGGCCGCCCCACTGGCAGGTCAGGCCTCGCTAGTGGAGACCCGTGGACGCTTCTGACTGAAAAGCTTCAGCCCTGGCCTCTCTCTCTCCCTCTCCCCCTCTATCTCTCCCTTGGTAAGAGAGGGTTAGATCTCAGCCAACAGCCTAATGGCCCCTTTTGAAGTCCCACTAAATCCCCCTGACCCTGCCCCGTTACCACTGACCCCTCGCTCCTATGACCGTCCGGGGTTAAAGGAGGACAGACCAGGGGTTGATGTTAAGTTTGGGTGGGGGAAGGTAGGGAGTGACATTAATTTGGGGTGAGGGAAGGTAGAGGGTGACGTTAAGTTGGGGTGAGGGAAGGTAGAGGGTGACGTTAAGTTGGGGTGAGGGAAAGTAGGGAGGGAGGGACGTTAAGTTGGGGTGAGGGAAGGTAGGAGGTGACGTTAAGTTGGGGTGAGGGAAGGTAGGAGGTGACGTTAAGTTAGGGTGAGAGAAGGTAGGAGGTGACGTTAAGTTGGGGTGAGGGAAGGTAGGAGGTGACGTTAAGTTGGGGTGAGGGAAGGTAGGAGGTGACGTTAAGTTGGGGTGAGGGAAGGTAGGAGGTGACGTTAAGTTGGGGTGAGGGAAGGTAGTGGGTAAGGCGGGTGAGGTGGGCTCTCTCTACATAATGGAGGGTGCTAATGCTGTAGTGTCTCACTCCTTCATGTAAACAAAGTTTAAAATCTAGGTCAGGGAATGTTGTTGTTTACAGTATGGCTGGCTGTTGCAGTAGTCTTGAAACGGATTCAACATTTTCTATCGTGTTTTTTTGTCTTCCTGGGGGTGTGTGTCTAGGTTCCAAAAGGGCACGTGTGGCTGGAAGGGGATAACCTTAGGAATTCCACGGACTCCAGGAGCTACGGCCCAGTTCCCTATGCCCTGATCCGAGGCCGTGTCTGCTTAAAGGTAAGGAGGGGAACATCGCCCGACCCGTCCCACATTTGAACCTTTTAGAGTTAGTATAATGGTCTGGTGGGTATAAAGAGAAATCTGTGCCACTTTTACGATATCACAGCCTCCTTTTGACTTTATGCCCCATGGCCATGATGAAATATGAAATGCCCTGCACTGAAATTGATTGTAGGTTTACTGGTGCTTTGCCTGGATTCAAAATATGCCTTATTCCCCATTCTGTGTTCTCTGCTCCTATGTGGCCAGTTGAGTCAATGCAAACACTCAAACAAGTTGGAAGTTCAAAGCATATCTTTCTCGTAGACCAAGGCCTGGGAACCCTATTGTCTAGCTGTCCATTCTGCTGTGTTGTCATGTCACTGGATGTCATAGTAACCATGACCCTGGAAACAGGTCAGCCGACCTTCTGTCCGTTTGACTGGACAGCAGCCGTCCACTGGGGGCCCAATGACGAGGGCTGACGAAGTAACAAGACGGTTTTATGAAGTCACATACATCATTAAAATCCACGTTACCAAGCGTATCCAGGAAGTGAGGATGTTGGAATAGTCATGATAAACACATGATGTAATGGATACACGTTGTTTGTTCTTCTTTTATGAGAGCCCTGTTACCCTTTTAACCCAAGGTCTTCTGTCTTTTCCTTCTCCTTTGTTTGTTTTGGTGTTTTTCTCTCTTTCCAGCTCTGGCCTCTACATCATTTTGGTGCCCTCAACCAAAGTCCCACAGGACGAGTCATAAAAAGGAGTGACTGAGTCTATTCATCCGTGCACATACATCATTTTGTAATATTTTCTAATTAAAGGCATATTTATCATGAAGAATTTTGTCCCTCTCAATTTTACCGACAATGTTTGTGTTAATGTGGGTTGAATTGTAGGGTATGTTTGAGTCAAATGTGAAAATCCATGGATAGTTGATCTGCAGGTTGATAATGTACAAGGCATAGTAATCTGGGGGTTCCAGTGTGTTGGCTGGAGCGGCACCCTGCTCTGTAGGAACAGCACCCTGCTGGAGCAGCACCCTGCTCTGTAGGAACAGCACCCTGCTGGAGCGGCACCCTGCTCTGTAGGAACAGCACCCTGCTGGAGCGGCACCCTGCTCTGTAGGAACAGCACCCTGGGGCGGCACCTGCTCTGTAGGAACAGCACCCTGCTCTGTAGGAACAGCACCCTGCTGGAGCGGCACCCTGCTCTGTAGGAACAGCACCCTGCTGGAGCGGCACCCTGCTCTGTAGGAACAGCACCCTGCTGGAGCGGCACCCTGCTCTGTAGGAACAGCACCCTGCTGGAGCGGCACCCGGCTCTGTAGGAACAGCACCCTGCTGGAGCGGCACCCTGCTCTGTAGGAACAGCACCCTGCTCTGTAGGAACAGCACCCTGCTGGAGCGGCACCCTGCTCTGTAGGAACAGCACCCTGCTGGAGCGGCACCCTGCTCTGTAGGAACAGCACCCTGCTCTGTAGGAACAGCACCCTGCTGGAGCGGCACCCTGCTCTGTAGGAACAGCACCCTGCTGGAGCGGCACCCTGCTCTGTAGGAACAGCATCGTGTGGGGAGGGAGTAAAACTGTGCCTCTGTGGAGCTGCTAGTGGTAGAGGAGGGGAGGAGAGAGGGAGGAGAAGGAGAGAGGGTTGTTGCTCTCACTCTCCACTTTGGTATGATTTTGGACTTCATTCATTTATTGGGATGGCAGAAGAAATCATCTCTAACTAACGCAACAGATGACAGTGAACACGGCCATTGATTTAAATCAGTTGAATTGTCCTGGAGTTGACGTCTTCTGCCACTGTAGACCCGAGATGCCTACATTTAGAATCGCTACATGTAGAATTGACTGGCCCACAATGCAGTGCGTGCTGTATGCATCATTCCTGCCAGACATGGACAATATGGATCAAAGAAGCTCGACATCTACAAAGGGAGACAAAAAGTGTTATTAATTTCAGGTTTACCTTTTCTCACTGTTGTGGTAAAACAAAAGCTTTTCTTGGCGATTAATATTTACATTGGGCCTCCATGGCAATCAGAAAAATGTTTAACATTTCCCATTTAGTCATTCAATATTTCTAAGCACTTAGTAAGGCAAAGCTCACAACTGAATAGTTTGTGGATACACTCTACACTACTATTCTATTGATGTGGGGAGGAAGAGGGATGGTTTGGTGTTTTTGGGAATGCTTTGCAATCTGTGTGACCAGTTTTCAGGGTCAACTTCAAATAAACAAAATAGCTTTAATATCAAATCTATAACATGTCCAGTCCACCAGCACAAAGTGGACTCAATCAGCCACTGAAAACATGACTGCATATGTTCCGCAGTACAAACTATTTAACATTATGCAGCCAGATATGTTATTGAACACATTTTACTCAACAACAATGATTTGGTTTGTCAAGAGGTGTACTAGGACTGTATGTAGCCCAACTGTCAGTCAACCAAGCTTTTTATGACATCACCTGTGTAAGGACTATATTACTGGGCCGGCTCCTCCACAAGGCTTTCTTCATCAGCAGTTCCAAGCCTGCTGTGCATCCTGCTTAGACAGCCCTGAACTAAGGACATGATGGCACTCTCATACACCCCCTAGTAAAGCAGCTCAGCTGGTCACTGTCCAGAAGAGAGAGGGGCTCTCCTCCTCACAGTTCCCCAGGGGGAGTGAGGGCCAGGCGGCCGCCCGTCCCTGTCCAGCTGCCTCCTCTGTCTGGAGGGAATGGAGGGTACATCTCTGCCCTGTTTTCTGTGACACTGAATTTTCTGCTTGAGCGTGATCGTGCCTCCTGGGAGGGCCGCTCAAGTGTGTGTGTGTGTGTGTGTGTGTGTGTGTGTGTGTGTATACATGTTTTATTTACAGTAACAGAGAGGGTTTGGCTTGGAGCATGTCTATCTTTCCTATCTTAACTTCATCTGCTGCGTGTCAACACAGTGCCAGTGTCCAAGTGAAATGCTGACACAGGGAATCTGTTCATATTCTTCTAACCTAGTGCCCCGTAGAGGGAGCTCACTGTCCTTCTGCAGCTTGAGGACTAGTGGGAAAATAGCAGTGTGTTCTGTTGCATAAGCAATGGTGGATACTGTTAACTTGGGGATTAGCTCCCACAGATGCATGATGAGCATATAACTACGCATACAGTACTTCATAATTTACAACTAGGAGATAATTCCCGGACAACTTTAACAGTTTAAATTGAATTCCACCACGTTTGAAATACAGACATGCAATTCCATATAAACTGCAAATTATAAGTGATACCCACAATTTATCTCTATTTAATGACAGGGCTATTGACCCCAAAGTAACCCTTGGAGATACACACATTATTTAATGAAGCTGAATTCCAGTGATGACACCCACCCACCCACCCACCCACACAGCTGTACAACCTCACATAGTTACTGGAGAGATGACAGGGCAGAGATGTACCTCACATAACCACTGGAGAGATGACAGGGCAGAGACATAACCACTGGAGAGATGACGGGAACAAGCAAATAGAGAATATGATTTAGAATATTGAGAGAGAGAGAGAGAGAGATCTATTTGCTTGTTCCCTCAGTTCACCCCAGCTTAATTGAATGCTTTGGAAGCACAGAGGGACAGAGAGAGAGAATAGGAAAGAAAGAAAGGGAGTTTCTTTGTTTTCATATCCTTGGCAGAGAACCTGACCCAAAGGCAAACTCAGGTTACTCTCTGTCGCGTGGCTGTTTTTGGAAAACAACAAAATGTCCTGGTATGTCTTAATTTAGACATACCAGGGCTCTCCAACCCTGTTCCTGGTGAACTACCGTCCTGTAGGTTTTCACTGCAACCCTTATCTAGCACACCTGATTCTAATAATTAGCTGCTTTATAAACTGAACCAGGTTAGTTACAACTGGGGTTGGAGCGAAAACCTACAGGAGGGTAGCTCTCCAGGAACAGGGTTGGAGTTAAAAGCTACAGGAGGGTAGCTCTCCAGGAACAGGGTTGGAGTTAAAAGCTACAGGAGGGTAGCTCTCCAGGAACAGGGTTGGAGTTAAAAGCTACAGGAGGGTAGCTCTCCAGGAACATGGTTGGAGATAAAACCTACAGGAGGGTAGCTCTCCAGGAACAGGGTTGGAGTTAAAAGCTACAGGAGGGTAGCTCTCCAGGAACAGGGTTGGAGTTAAAAGCTACAGGAGGGTAGCTCTCCAGGAACATGGTTGGAGATAAAACCTACAGGAGGGTAGCTCTCCAGAAACAGGGTTGGAGTTAAAACCTACAGGAGGGTAGCTCTCCAGGAACATGGTTGGAGATAAAACCTACAGGAGGGTGGCTCTCCAGGAACATGGTTGGAGTTAAAAGCTACAGGAGGGTAGCTCTCCAGGAACAGGGTTGGAGAGCCCTGAGACATACTATATCGCTCTCCCAAGACAAATAGAACCAGGAGGGAGGTCAATAGTACAATCTGTTTCAAGCAGTTATCAACCGTTGCTCTTTGTGTAAATACTCTTATTTACCCTAGACATATCACTCCTACAGCATCACAGGGGACAACTCCTCCACTCTGGAAGATAAGATGCAATATCATCTTCCTCTACTCATCCTTTCTCCCTCTTTATCGCTTTCCTTCTCTCTATCCTACCGCCTCATCTGTTACCCCTTACACGTTGATCCAACTCTCTCTCTCTCTCTTCTCCTTCCCCTCCTCCTCTCTTTTAGCTGATGAGGGAATCACTCCTTTCATTAATGAATCCTTTCAGGTTCTTCTTTTAATCACGTCTCCGTTAGAGCTTCTTAATTAAGACTTCACAGTCCTGTTTGAACACAGCAGATTTCAGCTCTGTGTGTGTGTGTTCCCGCCTGTGTCGAGGGCCGAACCTCCGAACAGAGGAGTTACACTTCTGTTGTCAGTTTGAAGTTGCTCACACACACATTTCCCAAACACACACACACTTCGCAAACATATACACACTTAGACAGCCCCAGAGATCCATACCAGACAGATGGTATTGGTGTGCTCAGGGGGATGGGTGGGATGTATGTTTGTTGTGATCAGACACACACAAGGCTGTCTACTCACAGCCCACTGATCAAAGCAGCACCCCAAGCCCAGCACAACACAAACAATCTTTATCAAGCACAGCTAAACTTGGGAAATTTGATGAAAAGCTGAAATGCAGAACACGAGGAAGAGCATTCCAAATACACCATATTCACAAAAGCGTGTGGACACCCCTTCAAATTAGTGGATTCGGCTATTTCAGCCACACCCGTTGCTGACAGGTGTATGAAGAGCTCAGTGACTTTCATCGTGGCACCGTCACAGGATGCCACCTTTCCAACAAGTCAGTTCATAAAATTTCTGCCCCTTATTTTGAAGTGGAAATGTCTAGGAGCAACAACGGCTCAGCCGCGAAGTGGTAGGCCACATCAGCTCACAGAACGGGACCGCCGAGTGCTGAAGCGAATAGCGTGTAAAAATCGTCTGTCCTCGGTTGCAACACTCACTACCGAGTTCCAAACTGCCTCTGGATGCAACGTCAGCACAATAACTGTTCGTTGGGAGCTTCATGAAATGGTTTGGCCGAGCAGCCTAAGATCACCTTGCACAATGCCAAGCGTCGGCTGAAGTGGTGTAAAGCTCGCCGCCATTGGACTCTGGAGCAGTGGAAATGCGTTCCCTGGAGTGATGAATCACGCTTCACCATCTAGCAGTCTGACTGACAAATCTGGGTTTGGCGGATGCCAGGAGAATGCTACCTACCCCAATGCATAGTGCCAACAGCAAAGTTTGGTGGAAGAGGAATAATGGTCTGAGGCTGTTTTTCATGGTTCGGGCTAGGCCTCTTAGTTCCAGTGAAGGGAAATCAACGCTATAGCATACAATGACATTCTAGACGATTCTGTGCTTCCAACTTTGTGGCAAGAGTTTGGGGAAGGCCCTTTCCTGTTTCAGCATGACAGTGCCCCCGTGCACAAAGCAAGGTCCATACAGAAATGGTTTGTCGATATCGGTGTGGAAGAACTTGACTGGCCTGCACAGAGCCCTGACCTCAACCCCATCAAACACCTTTGGGATTAATTGAAATGTCGACTGCAAGCCAGGCCTAATCGCCCAACATCAGTGCCCGATCTCACTAATGCTCTTGTGGCTGAATGGAAGCAAGTCCCCGCAGCAATGTTCCAACATCTAGTGAAAAGCCTTCCCAGAAGAGTGGAGGCTGTTATAGCAGCAAAGGGGGGGACCAACTCCATATTAATGCCCTTCATTTTGGAATGAGATGTTCGATGAGCAGGTGTCCACTTACTTTTGGTCATGTAGTGTAGTTTTAACATAGAAATAGATTCATTCTATTTCTATGAGTTTTAATAACTACAGTATGCAAACTTCTTCTGTCTGTTTCAATAGGACGTCGGCATTGTACATTTTCCTGTCATGACTTTCCCTCTGTAATAGTCTTCCATCCAGTATGGTACATGTTCCTGTCATGCCTCGTGTTTCCCCCAAAGGCAGTCAACACTATTAGTACTGGGGGGGGCAGATTCTGCTTGTACACTCAAAGGGTCCTAATGGAAAGCTATGGGACCTCTATCTGCAGGCCATAGGGGGAGGGAGGAGGGTGGAGGGGTTAGGGAGCGATGGCATCTTGGTCTGACAGGCCTGACCTATATACCCCCACTCACCCAACACTCACACATTACTGACAAGCACAAACACACACACACACACACACACTTTGCTAAGAACGTGTTTTCTGTAGTAGAGGGAGAGAATACAAACCCTCTCATCTGGGACTCCTCTCTTGTTTTGGGGGTTTCTTCTCCTCTCTGCTCTGTTTTGGAGGATTGGTCATGTATTCTCTGCTCTGTTTTGGAGGATTGGTCATGTATTCTCTGCTCTCTCTTATGCTCTCTTGTCCCTTCGGCACAAAACAGTGTGAACAAAAGCAAGCTTTACTTTGGCTTGAGAGAAGAATAAACACACAGGGATGTGTACAGTGTAGTTCTACTAGATGGTAGGGATGTGGGAAGTGTAGTTCTACTAGATGGTAGGGATGTGGGAAGTGTAGTTCTACTAGATGGTAAGGATGTGTACAGTGTAGTTCTACTAGGTGGTAAGGATGTGTACAGTGTAGTTATACTAGATGGTAAGGATGTGTACAGTGTAGTTCTACTAGATGGCAGGGATGTGTACGGTGTAGTTCTACTAGATGGTAAGGATGTGTACAGTGTAGTTCTACTAGATGGTAAGGATGTGAAGGATGTAGTTCTACTAGATGGTAGGGATGTGTACAGTGTAGTTCTACTAGTGGTAGGATGAAGTGTACATGAGTTCTACTAGATGGAAGGATGTTACAGTGTAGTTCACTAATGTACAGGATGTTCGTAGCTAATGAGAGGAGTGTTTCTACTAGTGGTAGGTGGAGGATTTATGGGTAAGGATTGTACAGTGAGTTCTACTGATGCAGGGATGTGTACTTGTAGTTCTACTGGGTAAGGATGTGTACAGTGTAGTTCTCTAGATGGAGGATGTTCAGTGTAGTTCTCTGTCTTACTGTTTTGGTAGGATGTGTCAGGTAGTTCTACTGTCTCTTACTTCTATGGTTAAGATTTGTCCGTGTATTCTACTATGTGTAAGGATGTTTACAGTGTAGTTCTACTAGTGTAAGGATGTTACAGTGTAGTTCTACTAAGGGAGGATGTGTTTAAGTGACGATGTGTAGTTATTCTACTAGTGGTAAGGATGTGTACAAGTGTAGTTCTACTAGATGGTAGGGATGTGTACAGTGTAGTTCTACTAGTGGTAAGGATGTGTACGGTGTAGTTCTACTAGATGGTAAGGATGTGTACAGTGTAGTTCTACTAGATGGTAAGGATGTGTACAGTGTAGTTCTACTAGATGGTAAGGATGTGTACAGTGTAGTTCTACTAGGTGGTAAGGATGTGTACAGTGTAGTTCTACTAGGTGGTAAGGATGTGTACAGTGTAGTTCTACTAGATGGTAAGGATGTGTACGATGTAGTTCTACTAGGTGGTAAGGATGTGTACAGTGTAGTTCTACTAGGTGGTAAGGATGTGTACAGTGTAGTTCTACTAGATGGTAAGGATGTGTACAGTGTAGTTCTACTAGGTGGTAAGGATGTGTACAGTGTAGTTCTACTAGATGGTAAGGATGTGTACAGTGTAGTTCTACTAGATGGTAAGGATGTGTACAGTGTAGTTCTACTAGATGGCAGGGATGTGTACAGTGTAGTTCTACTAGATGGTAAGGATGTGTACAGTGTAGTTCTACTAGGTGGTAAGGATGTGTACAGTGTAGTTCTACTAGGTGGTAAGGATGTTACAGTGTAGTTCTACTAGTGGTAAGGAGTGTACGTGTAGTTCTACTAGATGGTAAGGAGTTACGTGTAGTTCTACTAGTGGTAAGGATGTGTACAGTGTAGTTCTACTAGATGGTAAGGATGTGGTACAGTGTAGTTCTACTAGATGGTAAGGATGTTCTGTGTAGTTCTACTAGGTGGTAAGGATGTGTACGATGTAGTTCTACTAGATGGTAAGGATGTGTACAGTGTAGTTCTACTAGATGGTAAGGATGTGGGAAGTGTAGTTCTACTAGATGGTAAGGATGTGTACTGTGTAGTTCTACTAGATGGTAAGGATGTTTACAGTGTAGTTCTACTACATTTACATTACATTTTAGTCATTTAGCAGACGCTCTTATCCAGAGCCACTTACAGTTAGTGAGTACATACATTATTTTATTTTTCATACTGGCCCCTCGTGGGAATTGAACCCACAACCCTGGCGTTGCAAACGCCATGCTCTACCAACTGAGCTACATTCCTGGATGGTAAGGATGTGTACGGTGTAGTTCTACTAGATGGTAAAGATGTGGGAAGTGTAGTTCTACTAGATGGCAGGGATGTGTACAGTGTAGTTATACTAGATGGTAAGGATGTGTACAGTGTAGTTCTACTAGATGGTAAGGATGTGTACAGTGTAGTTCTACTAGATGGCAGGGATGTTTACAGTGTAGTTCTACTAGATGGTAAGGATGTGTACAGTGTAGTTCTACTAGATGGTAAGGATGTGTACGTGTATTCTCTACTAGATGGTAGGATGTGTACAGTGTAGTTCTACTAGATGGTAGGATTGGGAGTGTTTCTACTAGATGGTAGGGCATTCGGATTGTTTCCTACTTTGATTTTCTCGTGTTCTCTGATCTCGATTCTACTTCTAGTCTCTCTGTGTGATTGTCATTGTCTCTACTATCTTGGATTGAATGTGTTCTCTAATGGTGATTTCGAGTTGTGCCTCACTAATGGAAGGGTGCTCTGCTGTGGCCCACAACGGGCCCTGTATTTGCCCCTGGGCTAGCAGAGGGCAGGGAGAGGGGGAAGGAGCGACTTAGATCCTTAGAGCAGGGCATGGGGCTGAGGGGTGATGGAGTGGTGGCACAGGGAAGCAGAGCATTGTGTGCGTGTGTGTTTGTGTTCCTCTTTGGTCACTGCAGTTCAAAAGCTGAACCGTGTCCAAGGCTGGGTAATGATGCAGTCGGCCGCAGCAGACTACAATAACCAACAGTCTCGGGCTGGCCAATTACTATCCCCGCAATTATATTTCCAATTCAGAGGTAACAGGGGAGAGTGGCCCAACTCAACTAATCATTTCGAGCAATTACTTTTAAAATGAATTAGAATGTCTTGGTTGGCTGTGCCTGCCTGCTCTTTTGGAGGGGAGGTTTTTGTTTGTGTTTATGTTGCTGTTTTCACTTTGTTAAACGGGTGGACATGAAAGGATGGAGCGGCAGGGTGGAGGAGATATCAGCCACGGTACAAGCCAAAAATCAAGCCCATGCATGGGTTGAGAGACTTGGTCATTAAAGGGGGTTCGTTGGGCTTGGGACCCGACCCAGGCGGCGTTTCTGCTGTTGTAGAATGGGTGCTCTATTCATTCTGTAGACGCCAAAGAACTTTGCTCCTCTATTAAAAATGGGTGTCAGCTAAAATTGCTTCCGAGGGCAGAGAGTCCAAACAACTCCATGACCATGGAAGAGGACGTTGAGGTATAAGAGGGGTTTAGAAAGGTGCTTACAGGGTCACCTCAAGGACGAGAGAAAATACCATCATCAGACTGTCTGAGGCTTTTTTTCCTCAAGATCTCCCTTTAATTAACAACAAGCTAACTGACTTGAAGCATCTTCTGCCACATTTAACACAACACTAATGGGTGACCATTGATTTAATTTACCTAAAAGGGTCAGAGTGGACACCATCTTCAGAGAGAAAGAGGTTTAGATCCACTCCCAACTATAGGGATTGAGAGGTGCATTGTGGGATGAATATAGTTAATGCCATTGGCTGGAACTCCTGGAAAGTGTTAAAAGCTTTTGTCTTGGCCAGTATTGGCTTGGCCAGTATAGCACAAACCACATTATATGAAATAAAAAACTGTGGAAGAGAACAGAGGGGAAGGAATGAAACAAAGTGTGAGAAAGAGAGAGTGAGAGAAAGAAAGAAAGAATTAAGAAAGAAAGAAATACTAACTTCACTGCAATGCACTCTAATATGGGGAAATTCATTCATGAAGGAAGGCCTGAGAGGTTTCTTCACACTCATCATATTTCAGGCAGAAAAACCCCATCCAATCTGAAACTCCTATACAGGTGAATATTATCCTCTACAGGTGGACGTTATCCTCTACAGGTGGACATTATCCTATACAGGTGGACATTATTATCCTATACAGGCGGACATTATCCTATACAGGTGGACATTATCCTATACAGGTGGACATTATCCTATACAGGTGGACATTATCCTCTACAGGTGGACATTATCCTCTACAGGTGGACATTATCCTATACAGTTGGACATTATCCTATACAGGTGGACATTATCCTCTACAGGTGGACATTATCCTCTACAGGTGGACATGATCCTATACAGGTGGATATTATCCTCTACAGGTAGATATTATCCTCTACAGGTGGACATTATCCTCTACAGGTGGACATTATCCTATACAGGTGAACATTATCCTCTACAGGTGGACATGATCCTCTTCTTCACAGTCACACACGGTGCAGCTCACTATATACAGTAGCTATGTAAACATAAGGCTTCAATGGTTTCAACCAGACACTATAATGACACATTATGCTATTCAGGTACTGCACCACATGTGTGTGTCCGTGTGTGTGTGTGTGTGCGTGTGTCTGAAGATCGTCTGTGTTGTATATTTCATGAGTCTGGGGTTTTCCTTTTTTACCTTAAAGTACTCACTCTCAGACATGCACGCACATGCTACTGTATTCACATATAGTGCTGCAGAGGACAACATTGAGTGTACAAAACATTAAGGACACCTGCTCTTTCCATGACATAGACTGACCAGGTGAATCCATGTGAAAGCTATGATCCCTTATTGATGTCACCTGTTAAATCTACTTCAATCAGTGTAGCTGAAGGGGAGGAGACAGGTTAAATAATGATTTTTAAGCCTTGAGACAACTGAGACATGGATTGTGTATGTGTGCCATTCAGAGGGTGAATGGGCAAGACAAAATATTTAAGTGCCTTTGAATGGCGTATGGTAGTACGTGCCAGGCGTACCGGTTTGAGTGTGTCAAGAACTGCAATGCTGCTGGGTTTTTCACATGCAACAGTTTCCCGTGTGTATCATGAATGGTCCACCACCCAAGGACATCCAGCCAACTTGACACAACTGTGGGAAGCATTAGAGTCAATATGGGCCAGCATCCCTGTGGAACGCTTTCAACACCTTGTAGAGTCCATGCCCCAACGAATTGAGGCTGTTCTGAGGGCAAAAGGTGTTCCTAAAATGTTGTACACTCAATGTACACACACTTGCAAAGTAATGAAAAGCAGTGACGTTCTCCCTTGATTGGACTGATCCATCCCCTAATACATTGCATGGTTGTCGTGGTGACTCATGCAACTTCAGTATTTGTGTAGTTACTTTAGAGACGGAAGAGGAAGCTAGACATCCCACTCTCTGTTTTTCTTTCTGGTTCATATTCAAGTCAATGAACTAAGTAGACCCGACCCAGCTGCTATTGCACTGGTTTCTATGTGAGAGCCACCCTGTTAAGCAGACCAGAACTGACCATAAAAAAAATATGGTAAACGGCCTGAGTGAACTATCTTCATTTATCCACCATATTTGGTTACATAACCTAGGCTACATACCCCCCGTGAAATGTGAAATCAATGATTTGGTGTTTTCAGCTAACATACTGTATGTCACAAAAGACTGTCAATGTGTTTCACGTCTCCTTCCCAGAATTGGATGCTTAGTAGCCATCACACATTTTAATGATTTAAAGAGGATTTCTTGGAAATTTCCATTATTCACTGTTTGCTGAAGGCTATGAGTGGTTCCACACACACACACACACACACACACACACACACACGGTGCCTCCCGGTAGCTGTCATACCAGGCGGTGGTGATGGGAAGGTGCTAGCCTAAAGGATGTATGGTGTTACCTCTCCAGTCTCTCAGGGAGACAGTGACATCTCCCAAGCAAATGGCCTCGCCATCTAAACTTGGCTGGCATTTACAGGGATGACTGTTTGTCTGTCTCCCAAAGTCCCCCTGAGCTCTGGGTTTCAACTGCCCAGGAGGGTGGAAGGGAATGTGGAACAGGAAATGAGGTGCTTCTCTCAGACGTTTTAGGTCTGGTTTTCTCTTTCGTTGTTTTAACTTGGAGAAATGTATGATAAACTGTAGTTCTGCCTCTGTATCCAGTCTGAAACTCAGCTAAGTTCCTTCTCACTTTGATAAGTAGAACAGTAATGAATGAGATTATACTGAAATGTGTTGATGTTAGATAATAGTGGCTATAGGCCGATGAAATATAAATTATCAATAAATATATAAACAGAGACATTCAATATCCATCTCTAGCATATCCATTTTAATTTGTTTGTTTTGCTTTCAATGAAAATCGCTATACAAGTTAAATCAATTATTATTATTATTATGATGTAAGCCTCTTTGCTTGCTAATGCCTCTCTTTCCTCATGGTAACACCTGGTATGTGTGTTGCAAACCAGATACATTCAGTACATAGTCTTCTCTCTTAAAGCAGTTGACTTTGTTGTAATCCGATTATAGACTGAAACATACTGGCACACACTCTCTCTGATGCCATCCATGCCAGTCATCCTTATGCCATACCTGTCACCTTAATATGACATTACTGTCATCTTCCTATTAAATACTTGTCACCTTCCTAACCTCAGAACTCAAGTTCCTGGAATGCTAATGAAAGGTTTCAACCTCAAAGTCTTGTGGAATTCTTCAATGGAATTTATTTTTGAATGTTTGAGGCTTATTGTTTGTCTGGAACGTTGAGCATGCTGATGATGCAACGCTGGCACAAGACTCAACCCTTCCATCAAACGTCACCACTTTAATCTCCCTCCTTTTCTTGTTTCCAAGTGATCTGTTTTGTTTTTGTTTTTCCGAAAGGGATGATTCGGATTGAAGGGAACAAATTTAACTGACGAGGAAGTGGTAGTTTATCCTCCTGGCAGTTTGTTTCGTGCACAACGGTTTAATTATCATTCTGGTAATTACTAATTAGATATTAGAGATGAACAATTGTTAACTGTTGTTTGTTGTGGGATTGTGGGAAGGGGAGAGGTGGAGAGAACAGATGAGAGAGCACAATGTGGCTGGAATATTCTGATCCTAGTTTTATTTCATTATTTCATCCCAGATGACCCTACAAGTAGGAGATTGTTGACCCGTTTAAAACATATTTTTTTACCTAATGAGCTATAATTGATGTTTATCTTCAACTGGGGCTTAATCATTGCCTGTTGGAGTCTCATGCCCCAGCACATCCACTGCACATTAGTTGTCTTTCACTCCAGAATGCAGCTGCAGCTTATAGGGAGACAGAGACATCCTCATAGATAATGACTGGAGCCACAATCCACTGTGGGGAGACACAATGTCACCACAAGTCCATTCTGGTCCACTCAAGTCCATTCAGACCATTCAAGTACATTCTGGTCCATTCAAGTCCATTAGGACCATTCAAGTCCATTCGAACCATTTCAAGTCCATTCGTACCATTC